TGGCTTCTAATGTAATCAATTGTCACTTGCTTCTCATGTTATTCATTGTCAAGGTCTTCTACATGTAATCCCTTGTCATCACATTGTTAGTGTACTTCTCTATTAACTTCTTGTTGTTCTTGTTAATTATTTTTCTGTATATATACATCAACCTGTTTCAGTCTGACTCATACTTGCTTGACAACGATACAAGAATTTGTAGCGAAACGTCGCATCATCCGAATAACGAAGTTGTTCATCCATAAATGTTGTCCTTATCCGATTCTCCAACTTCTAAACATGCCACTCAAAGAAGTTAGCTAGCCTTGTGATTATACACATGACAATTCATATTCTTGTTCTTTGTTCTTTTACTCGGATAGCTGGTTTTTGTGATGACCACTGTTTGTGTAAAATAGATATATCTGTGCTGAAAGTCAATTTGTTGTTTGTGCATTTCCTAATGAAAGATATGTTCCATGGCAATTTTGTATCCACTAGGTCTTCCCATTTAACTCGAAAGTAGAAACGACATGGGTTCGTCAGGAAACATTCTATCACCTTTAAGGTTTAAGATGAACTTAACGTATCACAAAATATTCCGGGAATATAACAAAGAGTATTATTATGATTGATCAATCACTTCTCCTTGAACGGTTACACTTAGATGCACTCCGCACCAAATGCGACGCGGTTCGTGGAACTAGTCATGAAAAATTATATCTTGAAACTAATTTTAAACCATTAAAAGAAAGAAGGCGTGACATCAAATTGGTAAACTTTTACAAAATGAATAACAATCTCGCCCCAGGCTACTTATGTGACCTTGTACCTAAAACTGTTTCTGACAATAGTCAATACAATCTCAGAAACAATCCCAAGTTACAAACAATAAACTGTAGGACAAAAACATATGAAAAATCATTCCTACCAGACACAATTAAAAATTGGAATTCGTTGCCTGACGACGTCGCGAATGCTAATACAATAGGCGAATTTAAAACTCTCTTAATAAATGATGAATCCAATAATTATCTTGACCTGAATTATGGTAGCCGATTTTGTCAAATTGTACACAGTCGTCTCAAGCTCAAAATCAACAGATATATATCAACTAATGCTGAATGCGCTTGTGGATACCACAATGAAAATGTTATTCATTATCTCTGTACATGTAAATTATATACTGCCATCAGAAATAATGCGTACTTTTATATAAGTGGTCACAGCCTCCAAACTGTGTTATACGGAACACCGCCAACTACCAACAATGAAAATAAGAAGATTATAGAATCTCTCCACCAATTCATTTGCAAGACTAAACGTTCGATAAAACGGCCTAAACGAAATAATAAATAACAATTATCTTAACCAAAAGTAATGAAACGTAACTGCGGGCGCGTTATTTACAATTCTCAATGCACATACGATGTTCCGATTTTAGATTTTAGATTGTCTTTTGTCTAGTTCTTGTGTGCTCTGTTTGTGTTATGTACTGGTGAGGTATTCACAAAAGCAAAGCTTTGCTTGTTTACCAAACCAGATTCTTTCAAGAATAAAAATATGTTTAAACCATAAAGCTTTGCTTCAGGTCATTCCTTTACCAATTTCAAATAACAAATAGGATTTTTAAGAAATGATTTCTTCCTCAAATCCAGTGATCTTTCCAAAATGGATTATCTGTGACTCAAAGTTTGCGTGTTATAACACAATTTCCTTTTCAGGGAGTCTACAGGACTGCAGACAATTTGTCTCTTAAAAATGTCCCTTGAGGGTGGAAAGTCGATTTCAATGCTATCTAAAGTTATCAGTCGTTCTTATTCATCCATCCATCTTACATTTTACCAATTGTTCTTTATTTTTACCCAGGTTCTCCAGAACAAATGAAAAGATAAAAGATACTTCTTGAAATATATTTGGGGTAAAATATTTAGGGACCAATCATACTCTTCTCTTCCCTTAACTGTGGGTCGTAATTTCAGCTCGGAGTGGCAAAATATATATGATCTGCGTGAAAAAGATGTGCGAAACACCTTATGAAGGTGGGTTCGAATCCCGGTCCGTCCTCTTTAGGTTTGTATGTGTCACCAAAGTGATCCAAGTAAACCATATCACGACAGTCCACCACGTTGTGATGTAAGTGAAATCACCGTACCTCCCACACATCGACTTAGTGGCAGCACCAACCCATACGTTAACATAGACTAACGACATTCGTATCTTTGTAGAAAGAGGTCTTGATTATCGATTTTTGTTAATTTGAGTGGAGACAATTTTGTGGAACTTGTAGAATATAGTTTCAACCCCTACCTACTTTATCACAACGGATGTGTGTAATCTGGTTAAACGGATGGAAAGATAAGAATATGTCCATTCCAGCACTGATAAATCAGCGAATCACCACGCTGACAGATGTACATCTACACATGGTGTACCAGGAACAAAGCAGAATGGGGCCAGACTGTGCCGGATGTTCCTGGGGAAACAAATCTTCCACAACAGGTGGCGTCAACGTTCCAGGCTTATATAAGTACCAGAATCTACGGAACTCGTCATCTCATCTTCAACAAGCTCAGGTAAGTGGCATAACGTTACAGGGAACAAGGGCTTTGAAATAAGAACCATCAGTTATACCGGCTCAACCACTGGTTAGTTTCATGGCCTAAAGAGCCACAATTCGTTGTTGCCTTTCACAGGTGTGCCTCCTGATGGTGTTTGTTGGTCTATCGGCACCAATCCGTGCTCGTTGGTTTGGTATTACCCAAGTGAGTGAGTTAAAATTTATAGTCACATCGGCAATGTGGCAGCCATATTGTGACGTAAAAAGTTATGAATTAACAATAAACACAATTACATTATGAAACACCTGACAACAAAGGATAGTAAAATAACTAGATTATTACAGGTGTAAATTTACCTATAAATGACAATGCAAAATAAAAATAGGCTATAGATTGCCAACAACTGAAGGTAGATCACCATACTAGGGACCATGGGGACTTACAGTACATTTCCTTCCTGCATGGGCCCTAGCTGGATTTACATCCTCCCTTCAGCTGTTACCAATTTAGATATTTCTAGCCATACATTAAAATTACACATATTCTACGATTAAAAAACGGAAAGTTGAAATTTACTTTGAATGTTTCGGGACTTACGTACCCTCCCAATAGAACAATAATTTACTGTACTTTAACCCCCCTCGATGATACAGCCACTAACAAACTGAGTTACCAATTCAAACTTCCAATCTCAATATATTTAGCTATTTACAAATCATTTAACAAATCTAATTCTTTTAAAAATGCAATAATTAAATGAGAACTGACATTATTAAAAAGATTCTTCATAGTTCGTGATTTAAAATAGTTATCCCTTGTGATGGAATATTCAACACAGTCAAACAAGACATGCTTGACTGTGATTCTTTCATGACAAGGGATGCAAAACGGAGGATCCTCACCTTTCAATAGGTATTCATGAGTATATCTGGTGTGGCCAATACGACATCGTCGCATGATGACCTCTTCAAATCTGGATTGACAACCCAAGTAGGTGTAACCGATATAGGATTTTATTTCATGAAATTTATTGATACCTACTTGGGTGTCCCACTTCTTTTTCATCAGATCACGGATACAAGATCTAATACCAGCTTGGGTATGAGTATGGGATCAGAAGTGGTGTCACAAATTTGTTGAGTGCTGCCTTAGCAGCAAGTTCGGCCATTGTGTTCCCAGAAATGCCAACATGGCTAGGTAACCAACAAAAGACGATGTCGCACTGATCAGTAGCTAGCTCATTATAAAAGTCAATAATTTCTTATAAAAATGTATGTTTGGAAGAAATATGTTTAATAGCCTGAAGACAAGAAAGAGAGTCTGAAAATATGATATATTGTTTATATTTGGGGTGTCTATTAATATATTTAAGAGCTGTTAGTATTACATTTGCTTCTGCTATAAAAATAGAGATAGTATCCGGTAATCGAGAAGATATTGTTCTGGATCCAACGACAGTAGCACAAGCCACTGCGCCACCATCCTTGGGTCCATCTGTAAATATGGATTTATATGTATTATATTTACTTTTTAATTGATTATATTCTTGTTTATAGTGTAAGTCATTCGTTTCGGATTTTTTAAATGTGGTTAATGTTAGGTCGACTTGTGGCCTAACCATTTGCCAAGGAAGAGAAGAAGTCAGACGGGAAGGAGAAATATTTTCAAGCTTTATGCCAGCAGCAGAAAGGAAGGGTTTAATCCTTATCCCTAGAGGTGGAACAAGAGAAGACCTTTTGTTGTACAGAACCCCATAGAGGGGATGAAAGACACAGTTATATGCAGGGTTCGACTGATTTGAATATGGTTTAGTAAGATACTGCAAAGACAATTTGATACGGCGTTGGTTTAGAGAAGGCTCGTCAGCTTCAACGTAAATCCAAGACAAAGGCTTAGACCTTGGTGATGGATAGAATCAAGTAGTTTCAAATTGTTTTTACAGGCTCCGCCATATACGGTGGAGCCATAATCAAGTTTTGACTGGACGAGTGATCTGTACAAATGAAGGAGGGTTGATCACCCAAGTGATAGACGTGTACGACCTGTGTCATTTCTGGATTGCCTACCGCACCAAGCTGACATGTGCATACCGTCATATAACTGAAATACTCTTCATGGAGACGTCCAAAATAATTCCCAAATACACTGTGACTGCCACACGTGTATATTATGTAATGGAGTTCAGACAGTCTTTTACACTTAGTCAAATATCAAAACTTTGACTATAAGAAGGTCTCAGTCGCTTACATTTTAATTCGCCAGCCCTATTTGTGGGACAAAATAACCGTTTTCGGAAAATATGGCGTCATTCTTTCCGACTGATCGATTTGTGGGTTATGTAACATGCAGCCAGAAAGCCAATGTGTTTTCCAATTTGAAGTACAATTTCAAACAAAAAGGTACAAAAGATCAACAAACCGTTTGCAAAATATATGATACAAACCACTTGTTGTTTCAGGTTCAACATGCATCTATTACTAACACTGTTGACAATTACTACCTCGGTACTCCACGCACTGCCAGCTGATAAACGGGACTTGACAAACGCTGCAGTCGGGGCACTGGACAAGAGAGAAATCTCCGCTGATAAACGGGGCTTCTGGAGTGATCTCAAACACGAGTTGGAGAACGTAGCTCACCAGGTCGGACACAATGTGGAGGGGGCGGCAGTGACGGATTTGACAAACGCTGCAGTCGGGGCTTTGCCTGGCAAGAGAGAAATCTCCACTGATAAACGGGGCGTCTGGAGTGATCTCAAACACGAGGTGGAGAACGTAGCTCACCAGGTCGGACACAATGTGGAGGGGGCGGTAGTGACGGATTTGACAAACGCTGCAGTCGGGACAGTAGTTGGGAAGAGATAATTCGAGCTGAGAGTAAGGTATTGTACTGCAAACACTTGAGTGTTTTGAGATGTCATTGTAGCTCTGAACCCAATCAACCAAGCATCCTTTAAAAATAGTTTGAAACATGTGTATAGCAAAATTATTATGTATGAATGGGAAAGAAGAAAATGTGTGTGAGTGTAGTGTGAAGGCGTGTCAATTCTTTATTATAAAAAAGCCGAAAGTAGGGCAAGTTTTTGAAATTATCTTTAAAAAGCAAATCGTGTCCAAGGTGAAGGACACAGACTTGCACAGCACAGTGCAACACCTTACACTAATGGGTGATAAAGCCTGCTAACATGAGATAGACGTCATATCATGCTGAATCTGTATCCGTGTCTATGTTGTATTTCCAGGTTTCCCGGAGCTGGGAGTGGAACTGGATATTGTTACAGTCACAGAACACAGAGATATATTTCCAATAAACATGTTTATGCCACTTTTAACCAGTGTCTCATCTGTTGTATATATCTGTTATAACATCAGCACAATCAGTCACGTGACGTACTGCAACAACAAACACCAACATTAGCACCAGGCTTCTGTCCTGTCACACTCGCGTGAGGCAAACATGAAACATGACGTGACCAAAAAGAATCTGTTTCTGATTATAGTCAAGAGTGGGCTTTCCTTTGCACCGAGGTTTCCTTTTCAAACTGAAGAGATTCATCATGTGGGGATAGAAGTTCCTGAATGGAAATTTCTTGTTTGAATTCTGTTTCGTAAAGAAGGCGACAACGTTTCTGCGCTCTGATCAGCTTGTTCACCCAGGAATTGAGTGAGCGAGTGAGTGAGTGAGTTTAGTTTTGCGTCGCTTTTAGCAATATTCCAGCAATATCGCGAATGGGGACACCAGAAATGGGCTTCGCACATAAATAAATTGAAAGCAATGGGACTGAATCGTAGAACGTTTTGGATAAATGCGCGCCTGTTTAATCTTTATGCATCATTATTTTGCCCAGAAAACGACATAAACAAATTCAACGAAGAAGACAATTCCTTGAGAAATGTTTGTATATACATTTCATAAAAACATATCAATCAGTTCATAAATATTATAAGTTTTACTAATACGATTGAATTAAAATGCTGTTCATCAACCTCTTCGCATGAAATTAAAATATTGAATTTTGCATATGGTAAGATCTAATGTACATGTTGCAGTTATGCCCACGTTTCATGTGATAACACAAGAGTAACGCTTATAAATTTGGCGAAAAGCACAATATGTCGATTTCTCATGTAAATAATGTTCAAACAAACAAAAACTATATAAAACACGTATAGCCTATATGATATTGAACAAGGCTAAATGTAGGCAATGAAATTAGTTGCTACAAAATCTGGACGATACGCAAACAATACATTATAATACTGAAAGTGTAAGCAGCGGAAAAGTATGTTTGCGTTTAATCTTATTCAACCGACCTTCACCTGAAAAGAATTGCCACATACGTACAACAATGCTGACGTATGACGTCAGTACCGATAACCGATTTCTTACAAAATGAAGGGTTCGCTAACATTGGTATGCTGGAATTTACGAGGGACTTTTCCTTGATTCAGGGAGCGTGTATCCATACGCATGTGACGTAAGTAATCAGAATGATTCTGCCTATGTGCGTATTGTTACTTGTTTTTATCGTTTTCATTGTAAGGAAGTCAGAAATGCCGATAATCATCGGCGCAGCGATGACTTAGAATAACATCAGTGCCACAGGCTAATTTGCATAACACGTGACCGGACTACTCACACTGGCCCATTTGTTGACCGAAACACGGACTACTTTCCTGAACGTGAACAAAACACCGCGCAGACACGTACAATAAGAAACTATAGATATATGATAAAAATAGGATTTTGCAAATGTATAGCGATTCTGTTATGTTAAAACCTAATCAGAGGGAAGCTCTTGAGTATATTTATACGCAAGAATGTGACTATATAGTTTGTCTCCCTACCGGTTATGGCAAATCTTTGATCTTTCTCCTGCTTGGTCCGTTTATGAAAGTGAAAGTGTATGATTCAGGATCCATCCTGGAGGTATCTACCCTGAATATACGTCTCATCAAAAGTTTAGACTCACTTAAAACACTCACTATATGTTATGTATATATGTATGGTTACATCGAAGATTGATTTCTCCACTAACTTGGGGGGAACCAACAGCAAACCTTAAACAGATGAATTGCACCAGGATCATGCATCAATGTCCTGAAAAGCATGTGTAAATATCGTGCATGTGAACAGCTGCGTTTTGGTGTAAAGTTTTTGTTAAGAATTCGCCAATTTTCACTGATTTTTATCATTTATTGACAACACTCCTTTCAACGTTACCAATTTGTTTTACAATACACCAGTTCATGTGTAAACAGTACCTTTAAACAGTATGGAATGTTTTGCAAAATCTAGTTTAGAAGAGTTGCCTGAAGTAAGTGGCTATATTTACACTAGTGAGTCTAAACTTTTGATGGGAAGTATATTATACAGAGGGATCAGGTGATCACCATAAGAAAGCGTGGCTTGAATGGGGTACTGACCCAGATCGATAAATGGTTCTCGCCAACGGTCTTATTTCGAAAGCTCGCTGCAAGCTGGTCGGTACCTGCTCCCTCGACCGTGACGGACACGGAGACTGGGCCACTGTCCACCTTGGCAGAATTTCTTCAACCTAAACTGTGGGGCATTAGGAAGGGTGGATGCCCATTTGATACCGTTATTTGAAAATATCCCCGGGAATTCTGGTCTGATTGTAATAAAGTATCCCAGCAGTGTAGGCTTTTCGCATTTTCTAATGCCTGGATGGTATAATGACTGATCCAATTTGATCCTATTTCTGTGTTTTTACCTCGATATTTAATCATGTCGTGTAAAAATATGATGCGTATTACCTGTGATATTAAAAACACACATTTTGTTTATTTGAATCTAAACTAAACAACCCTACTTTGCCATTGCTAGAAAAATCTGAGTATTTACTTAGGTAAATAGGTACATGTACAGTTACTTAAGCACACAGTAAATGCTTATATGTATTTCTTACGCAACAATAAAGTTCCGTTTGTATCCTCAAACAGTGTGGGTCCATATGTTTTTTTTCAGGCAGTTAAAATTGCATGTAATACAGCGATTACTACTCTCTTGCTGTAACCCTTGTTTGGTGGTAAACCTACACATGATATTTGTCATCATTCACTTGATGGTCAGTAAATGAAGGTATAACAGGTATAATTAGTGGTAGCACCACTCAGATTACCCGACAAAGGTTCCCATTTGGCATTTCTTGTGTCTGGAGTAAATAGTCATTATTATAAATTAAGGTCTAATGTGGCAAATGTATTACATGTTATGTAATATGTGCATGGAAGGGCAGCAAGAGAAATTATCACCTGAGTTAAAAAAAAACAAACATCGATCAAAGGGTTAACCGATAACACGCTGATTGATTAATTGCTTTTGTCCTGCACAGCGGATTTGTCAAAAGGTAGTGTTTATGTATGTAGATTTACTCATCTATACTGATTACACCCTGTCGTAAAGTAACTGTGTAAAAACAACGTCTTTTATTGAAAGGATTAACTGCCGATACGTTGATTGATTGCTCATTATTGGCTAACTAAATTACTTTTTAATAGAATGGCGGACATCATGCAATTAGTTGCCAGGTGTGCTATCTTGGGTGACCAATGGGACTATACACCAATGTGAAAAACCTGAAACGATACATCACTTTTTTAGCATATTAGACTGTTAAAAGACACATGACATGGAACAGGATTCTTTGTCAGCTGCAGATGAATGGCATATCGTTCCTTTATGTGGATATTGATGGATACATTCCTCGAACAAGGTAATAGCCTGACATTGTTGCTATACCTTTAGTCTGTTTTAATTTTTGTTTTTATTCATTTGTTGTAGCATTCAACAGGATCATTTCTTTCGCCGTGAAACTTCCAAATGTTTTCATTTGTTAGTAATAATGAAGATGGGAATATTGTCGATTGAAAAGGATTTCATCTTTGTTGATCAATCTATACTTATACTATCAATTGCGTATGAGGGTGGCGCAGCAGAGGTCACGAACCAGTCAAGAATTCTGGGATATCATCCGGGTACTCACGGGAGAAAAACAGTAACAAAAGCAACTAACTGTCCCTGGAAATTGCTCTGGATCAGTGCATGTAGACCCCTCGAGATGATTATGACTTCACTAAGCATTGTATGGTAAGTACAGTATTTGTAACATATATATAACTTTGGGTCCCATTTTTTGTTCAATTATTATCAGCCAATTTTTTTAAATAAGTGCAAATAAAAAGTTTACAACACTTCGAAAAAATGTTCGTGTGTATTAAGGGAATTGAAAGCAGTATCGCTTTATATTTGGCCATGTTCGTGTCAAAATGTCTATAAATAGTTCAGGTAAAAACCCATTGATACACGAATGATTCAATTGGGTTTTCCATATCAATGTATAGCTCAAGTTACGAAAAAAAAATCATTGATGTTTACATGATGTATATGACATATAAATTTGACTCAAGGTATGGCACCGCTTCATCCATAAGTCCTTATTTTGACTGTTGTTGCTTTGTTATGCAATATTATTTGTTATAATATTTAATGTGTCAAATATTGACATAAATGTCTGAAGAAAATAATTTCAAAATTTGTTCAAGAAAAGTACAATAACGTCAGGCTATTTAAATATATATAGATATAATAGAAAAACTGAAATATGGTTAAAGTAAGTAGGTGCATGATGAATTGTGTCATGTGTTTATTATAGGAATGTGAGACTGGCGTCACTTGGAGACATAGAATCAGGACTCTATGAAGTCATCGTGTGCCAGCCAGAGGCCTTGTTTTCCACATCACAAGGAGAACAGTAGAGCCTGTCAACAGAATGCTCTCGCAGTTGTAAGTGATAAGTGTCACACAGTAAACCAATGGCAAATGTACTGTAATTTGTGTTACGATTGATAGTTGCAGCCTCCAGGACTTTATTGTAGGTAAAGGAGGGTGTTTTAATGTCTGTGTAGTATAGTGTAACGTCGAACAACTATCGTTGAGTACCTCAAGATTGTGGTAGTTAATTATTGTAAGGGTTTGGAAATTACATTTGTATGTGCTTTGCGTGTAATAATATATTTAATATATGTCAAGAGACTTCAGAAAGGAATCTGGCCATATAAACACCCTGCCCACCTTCCTATCTTGCCCAGCCATTGCATTAAGTGCAGCACTGTCGACAAAAGCTGTGGAAAGCTTCTTGCCCTATTGAATATGAAGAAACCAAAACCAAATAGCAAAGCCTAATAAACCAAATATATTCTTATTCTTTAAAAATATTTTTATCCAATTATGACATTATTGCATGTGCAGAGTCTGTTAATGTTCCCCTGGTTGATGAATTGTATGCCATGGGTTCTGAGTTTCCTGTAA